CAATTCAGATGTTGAATACATGCAGGAGAGCAAACCAGAGGATATGATTTTAAATGTGCAAATATCAGAATTTAGGAATAAAAATTAAACTTGCAGTAGTCCACCTGAAGCAAGGCTAATTGGAGAAACCAGATACCAGGACAGTGCTGCTTCATTCACTCCTCGTCTGGGGTCCCGGCCACTGTTCCTTGAAGCCACCCAAAGATGTCCAGGAGGACAAAAATTTCCCGGGGGCCTGGGGATTTTATTTTCTTATTTTATTCAGACAAATTCTTTCTGCAAAAAAAATTGTGTTTCTTCTGTAGCACAGTCACAGTTTGGTTTACTAAATGTAAGCTTCCCACAACCCGCCTGACACCATCTGCGGCAATTCCACAATCGCATACATTTATTTTAACTTAAAAAAAAAAAACACTGGGCTTCCCTCGTGGCACAGGGGTTAAGTCTCAGCACTATGAAGCTATCGGCAGCCACTGCAGCATGAGTTTGATCCCCGGGCAAGGAGCTACCCACATGGCACAGCAGACCTCTCCTGTCTCCCCCGCTGCTCCCCTCAGCAGTGTATTTCAGTAGATCTGCCTGTCCTGCCCCCCACTTTGTCTGTGGTGAATCCTCTCACCGCCCCCTCAGCCTACACCCCACTTCTTCTAAATAAATAAAAATCAATCTTAAAGAACAAAAACAAACAAACAAAAAAATAACAGCAAAACCTGGGATTCCAAGTCTCTCCCAGATAAGAGATTTCAGAATGTGAACAATAAGGTTGTTATGCTCAGGCTAAATAAAGTTAGAGAGGATGTTGCAGAGTTTTAGGTGGCCACTGTGTCTTTGAAAATAAGATTAAAATGCTCTTCCCTGCTTCCCACCTTCCCACTGCTGAGGGGAGCAGCGGGCGAGTCAGGAGAGGTCTGCTGCGTCATGTGGGTCTCCTCCCTGGCTGGGGATTGAACTCATGCTGCAGTGGCTGCTGATGAGGGGTGAAATTTCTTAACCAAACGCATTAAAGAACTGATCCGCTCTCTTGGCGACTGACAAGTGGAATTAAGTCCATGGAAGGCAGACCCGCAGTGCAGCACCTGAGCACAGGAGGCTGTGGTCTTCCATACCCCCCAAAAGGGATTCTGGTTCTCCTGAAACCAGACCTTAGCACCCGAAGGGAACAACAGAGCAACACTCAGCTGGATTCTTGTCACCAGCATCCTCCACCCACGTGTCCCACTGCCCATCCCAGCCCGTGGCAGTTTGCTCGAGCGGCAACTTCAGTAATCTGAGCCAAGAGCCTTCGGTGGCCACTCTGCTTCCCTTTAGCACCTCCTTGCCCCACCTTTCCTGGACGCTCAGTTTCCACTTCCAAAAACTTGTCAACTTGCAAGTAGTTATAGGAGCCCGGAGGTCCAGAAGGGGTGCTCAGAAGAGTAGAAAACTATATTTAAAAAGCACAAGACACTGAACCCCTATGTCAGGGTCTCTTCAGATGGAGAGACTGGGCCTGCAGGTCCTGACCATGCCATAGCAGGGGAGCCCCAGCCCAGCCCCGTTCCTCAGCCCTTCTGTGAAATGATAACTGCAAAAAAAAAAAAAAAGAGAGAGAGAGCGAGAGAGAGATTGAATGTGCCTAATATCAGAAACCCCTCAGTAATCAACAGAATTAGGTATATCAGCTTTATGTGGATGTTATTTTTCGGGGCGGGGGGGGTGGGGACATGTTCATGTTCTTCAGTTCCTGGTGCGAGTTCTTATCTATGCCAGCACTGGAGAATTTACCTTTAGAGAATGTCCCAATGAGCAGTCTTCATAAATGCAGGATGCAGGTGGGCTTGACTGTCACTGTGCTGCTCGGTTGTGGGCTCAGACCTTCCTGGGAGGGGGAGGGAAGCGGGCTCTGGCCTGTCCTGGGCCACTGGCTTCGCCTCCTTCTCTTCTTCCTCAAACCAAAGACCGGAAAATTGAAACACTCGTGCTATTGGCAAAGGAACACTTAATGGAGTTCTTTGCTTTTCTCTCCTCCATAGTAATCTTCGTATAAAATTTTCTGTGCTATTAAATTTCCAAGGGTATTTAATAGTAATGCCGTGAAACATGCATGCATTTTTGTTGTCAGTAAACAGTTGTCCATTAAAGCCATGTTCCCTCTGCCAGATATTAAAAGCTATTTGACAGATTTCATAGTACTTAATGAGGAACAGTCATGTTCTAGGTGTTATAGAAAAGATCAAAATGCTGTAAAAATTAGTATCCATTGTAATTTTCTTATCAATTAAATGAAATTTGTGTTAATTGCTAAGTATACGATTCTATTGAAAAAAGTAACTTGTCATTCTAGAACTTAGCTTTGAGTACTGCTTCTATACCTCGTCTTTAACAATAGGAAATTTCATTATAATTAAAGGCAATGTAAAATAACTTGAGCACTACTCGAGAAGATCCAGTTTGTTAAGAAACTTGAATTACCATTTATAAAATATCTAGAGCGTGAGAGTTCAAAATAAAACAGGGTTTCTTGCTGTTTGGTTGCTGAATATATCAGCCCAGTGACAATTATATAAAGAGTAGTTAAACAATTTGTGTTTAACATATTGAAGCTTGTCAGCTAATGTTTACAGCAAGGAAGAATTATTAGCAAATTCATCTCACCTCCTTTCACTGTTATTCATAGAGCTAAGGTAAGAAGTTTTTCTTAATTGTGATTAGTAACTGAAAGTACCCTTCTATCTTATATGAGTACATTGGATTTTATAGGGTTTTTATATAATGAATCAGAACAAGACCCATTAAATACTTTTAGGTATTGATTCCTTTGGTCAGGTCTATAAGCATAACAGTGTGAAGAAATCACTTAGTCAATTACCTGATTATCCTCCATGCTGTAAATATCACTCCATATTTAATTGTAACAGACACAATGAGGGACAAGTTAGACAAGGGTAGGATGAGTTCCTAGAGGAGGTAGATTCTGAATTGAGATCGAAAGCAATATTTCTAGATTTCAAGTTTGGAGGGCCTACCTCCCATTGCATATTTGTGATGATCTCCTAGAAGGTCCTGATCTGTCATTTAAGCTCTGCAAAATGTCATAGAGACTTGACTTGAGCTTTTGAATTTTTACATAATCTTCTCTCTTGTCACTTGAGAAATGATTATTCCATTTGTAGATAATCCTCCCTTTTCCTTTGCACATTTCATTGCTTTCTGGTGCTCCCATGAATGGGTGAGCAACTGTAGAATGAGGAGGTAAAATTCAAATCTGATCACTAATAAATTTGGTAACCTAAATAACTAGGATTATCATTCTCCAGAATAACAGTGGGGATTTTCCAGCGTTCAGATATGCTAGTTTTCTTTGCTCAAAGTAATAAATGATTGAAGTATACTCACTTTATATTAATGACAGGGCTGTTAGATCTAGAAGAGATTTCTTGGTCTAAGAATTAAGAAATAACTGCCTCTCAATCTAAAGGCCTTCATATATGAATTGGAAAAACACAAAACTAATGTTTTATTCTAAGGAAGAGTGAATCCTTAGCAGAATATCATTGCCTTTTTTATGTAGAACAGAAGAGACAGATCTTCTGTTCCAATATTCCGATGAGTGACATTGCAATCTAAGGCAAAAACTGAAGATTAGGAAAACATGAACCCAAGAGGGGCTCAAGTTAGAGCCCAGAGCTGCACCCTGGCGTTCCTTCCACCGCACTCTATGCCCTTGCGGTGCTGTGCTACTGGCAGCCAGTTCTGTCTCTTCCCTTCCCTGAAAAACTGATGCAGGGACAGGTGGTAACTGTCAGCACTGGAAGGCTTCGTCTACATAAGTATCTTTATTTTAAGTCCATTGATGGTCCTAGGATACTAGGAAAAGGAAGAAACAGCCTTCCCATTCTGAGGTTGCCTTTCAGCGCCTTAGCTTAGACAAGAGCGAGAGAGATTCAGGACAGAAGTGAACACCAGCCTTGTTTTCTGTCCCACCACCTGAAATGCTATTTTTGTAAGCACTTTGAACTCACCTTGTGCAGACTGCTACAACTGTGGAGACGTTGTCTAGCTACTCTCACTTACAGTGTGAAGCAAAATCGAAGTTTAAAACAACCTAGAAACTTCGTTACTTGAGGGGGTTTTTTTCTGCTTTGCTTTTTTTCATTCCTGAAATTACTCTAATCAGTGATTTTTAACAGTATGCCAATTTTTGGTTTTAAGAGCAGTGATCTAACCCAAAACTCTCCCAAAAGTCATTGCTGTTTCTGAAGCACTGTGAAGAGTGGCATGAAGCCACAGGCTGAGCAGAGAGATATCAGCATTAGCTGAGCAGGGGGTGACTCTTAGATTTAGGAGCCTACAGAGTCAGGGAAAAAGGCTGAAGAAGAATAAAATGAACCTTGACTGAAAAACACATCTGTTCAGATTTTATTTTATACTGTTTGGTAGAGGGAATATAGCTTTTTTATTTTTCTTGAGCCTGCAAAATATGCATGCTCAGCTCTTGCCTGAAATAAGATAACTGGCCTTGCATAGTCATAAAGAGACTTTATGTACTGTTGACTGATTCACTGCTAACCCCAAAGAGTAGTTTTCTGTGATTTTGAACAATCATTCCTTGTTTTGCAGAGGGGGAATGTCTGTTGAAAGGCAACTTAGTGAGCTTGAAATCTCAAATTTCCCCGGGGGGACATATTTTCTGAGTTGGCCAAGAGGTGGGGCTGGACTAAGAAATAATTTTTTCAGTCCAGGTTGGTGCCTAGGAGAGAAGGTCTAGGTCCACTTGAGCAGAAGAATTTGTGTTAGATGAAATAAACATGTAATTTATTAGAATTCTTCAAAATATGTTTCATAGATTTAGAAATTTGGGGTCCTACCTGTGGATCTGTCCAGCTACCCTAATTCCACACGGAACATAATGTTTCCATAGTCAGAACAAGCCACACAATGTCATTCCCCTCCTGGAAATCAAAAGAGTGTGTCTGCCCATACTTCCTCCCAACACTCAGCAACCTCCCCTTCCAATGCAGGTAGTGGTGAATGCCTTGGTGGGCGCCATCCCCTCCATCATGAATGTGCTGCTGGTGTGTCTCATCTTCTGGCTGATTTTCAGCATCATGGGAGTTAACCTGTTTGCGGGAAAATACCACTACTGCTTTAACGAGACGTCTGAAATCCGCTTTGAAATTGAAATCGTCAACAATAAAACTGAGTGTGAGAAGCTCATGGAGGGAAACAATACGGAAATCAGGTGGAAGAACGTGAAGATCAACTTTGACAACGTTGGGGCGGGATACCTGGCACTTCTTCAGGTGGTAAGTAGTGCTGGGCTGTAAGTCCTGGGAAATTGAGACAGCTACGAGAAATCTCGTCTGGGTTCCTCTCCACTCTGCTTCCAGCGTCAGGATTACCGTTAATAGGTCCAAGCAAAGTGTGTCATTTCCCAAGCCAGTTCCAGGAAGACCCCTGAGTCTTCCCAAGACTTGTCTCCAGGGCATCTCTCACTGTGCTCAGAGTTCTACTTAGCAACAAATAAAGATTCCTACAGCCTGGTAAAGTTACACGTTTAGCACCTTCTTGGGGACAAAGCATGTAATTAAATAAAAAGAAAAAAAGGATGATAAATGCACAACCCTGCCCCCCCCCCGACCCCTCAAGAGAAGAATAGATGGCAGTTTAGATGGGACAGAACAGTCCTACACAACCCTGAGCACCTGCTGTGCTCAATCCCAGAGAAAGGTCTCAAATTAACATATCAGTGAAAAAGGGTGTATTTTGATTGTGTAGCTCTCCATCTTGCCTAGTTTTCCTTTCTTGCTATTATTTTGGAATGTTTGACAAGACAGTATGATGTGATAAAAGCTCCTAGACTTTGGAATCAGACAGGTGTAGAGTTGAGCCACAGCCTGATGTTTATTGGCTGTGTGACCTTGGCCAGAGTCCTCAACCTCTCTGAGTATGTTTCTTCATCTATTAAACGGGGACAACAATACTTCATGTGGTTGTTAAGAGAATTCATGATAATTTATTAAAATGTCTTAGCATGATGCCGGACAGATGCACTGCTGAATTAATGGTATATGCGAGCCTGGGTTTTTGTTTTATGACAGCTGTGCCTGCATCATGTGCTTGGCAATATTAAATGCAAGAAGGTGGGTGAAACCTCAACTCCGCCTTACATTTAGGAAGCACTTTCTTCTAGGTGGTGGCAGGAGGCAGAGTTCATGGAGTGAACAGTGTTTTATCCCAGTTCAAGAAATCGAACCCACAACTTGAATCTGAATTGAGCAACTACAGAAACCCATGCACATCAGCCAGCCAGTCACACGCTATATTCAGAGCCTCCTCCCTGTGCAGGGTTTCCAGAGTCAGGCTAGATTTTGAAGAGGTAGCGCTGGGAAGGAGTTGTGAAGGAGGAGGCCGGTGTTGCCACTGCTACACGGAAACACGTATATATTAGCAGGGAAGACGTACTCACACTGTTTGGTTTTTTTTTTTAATACAAAATCTATCAATTTTCAGGCTGCCATCACTTCTTTAACATCTTTTTAAAAAAATAACTTTTCAGTGGAGACCTAAGTTCTACTCTCAGTAGAGTCCTGCTCCTCATTCCTGAGTATGAGTTTGCCCGAGCTTTAGGCAAACCTCAGGCCCGTTTTAAAGCCCTTTTATAAAAGTGTTGATCCAATCACCATGGTCTCGTGTTTCTCTGTCCAAGTCCCATGTTGTTTTCAAGGACTTGAAGCACCTTTGGGGCCTGCGTTAACACACGCAGTCTGTGTCCACATGAGACCACACCCAACTCCCTGTCTCATTCTCGCTGAGCTTCAGTCTGGCCTTTGGGGCCCCTACCTAGACTCCCTCCCTCGCTGACAGGCACAGTCTAACGACTGACTCTGTTTCCCAGGCAACCTTCAAGGGCTGGATGGACATCATGTATGCAGCCGTAGATTCCCGAAAGGTAAGGCTGTGCCTGTGCCACCGCAGCCTTCGCCGCCAGTGAGAAAGCACGCAGCACGCTGGCTGGCCTGGGGGGCGGGGGGCGGGGTGCAGGAGTATGGTTTCTCTGTAGAACATTCATTCCTTATTTTATTGACTATAGATCACTTGCTCCTCTCATAAGCCATCATCGTGTACTGGCTCCAGATGATTAGGCTGTCAGTGTTTTCACCTAGCCCCAGCAGAGCCTTCTGCTCTTGACGCTGGTGTGACATGAATGTGGCTATCCCTTGTCTCGTGGCTTGCATCTTCCCCACATGAGCCACTGCAGGCATCCTGCCTCCTCGGGAGCGAGACAGGCAGAGAGAATCTCCGACTTCCCTCCCCGGTCGGCTCAGCAGCTTGAGGGATCAGTCATGGCTGAAGGGCTTGGCACACCAGGGCCACCGCCAGGTCCCAAGTGGGCACTGACTCTTCCTTTTCTCCCGTCCTTTGTCAGCCTGACGAGCAGCCTAAGTATGAAGACAACATCTACATGTACATCTACTTTGTCATCTTCATCATCTTCGGCTCCTTCTTCACCCTGAACCTGTTCATTGGTGTCATCATTGATAACTTCAATCAACAAAAGAAAAAGATAGGTCTCCTTCCCTCACTGCCAGGGGCCAGGTCACCCCACATGAGAGGCTCCATGTCGTCACCCCACTGTGACACTGGCCCCCCTTCCATTACCCCAACACCCCCTTTTGGGGGCTAGCTCTCACAGCAGGGGGCCCTCATGCTGCCAGCAGCCTTATCTGGAGGCCTGGACTAGCTTGGGCCTCGGCAGAGGAGGTCGTGTCAGAAGGCCCCTGGGGCAGGTGAAAAGGAAAGAAGCAGAACAGCTATCGTGAGAAACAGAAACCGTCCGGTCTGGTCAGTCACCTCGAACAAGTTGGGACTTGAGAGACCACCTTGGAAACGTCACTTCCTTAATTGTCGCAGATGGGTGACAGTTTTTCCAAATCAAATCGAAAGTATTGCTGTTGTCATTTATTTCGTAAACTCAACCTGCCCCGGCAAACTCCAAGGAAATCCTTGAATTGTTTTCTTGGACCAAGATTTCTAAAATTTTAATATCACCTAAAATAAATGGGGCATCAACCAGGACTTAAAATTCCTTCTACTTTAAAAAGATTTTTGTAGCGTTTCGTCAGGAAAGCAGGCCAACAGGGAGGGCGGGGGGAGGAGCATACGAGCCCCGGAGAGGTGTAGCTCTCGAGTTTGCCTTACCCTGAGGATCTGTAATTGGAGAGCCCGTTTCCTTCCTGCCTAACCACTCACAGATCTCAGAATCACCAAGCTAAAGACAAAAAGGTATCTCTTTGAATTAGAATAGTTACCCCAAGTTTACCTCACTCTGGGACAGCTGTTGGCTAAATTGACCTCTGGAAAGGAAAGGGAATAGGTCCCCCTCCGTTCCCAATAGGTCCCCCTCCGAACCTTAGGTCCCAAAGCTCCAGCACATTGTAATTGCTCGTTCTCTTTTTCCCTCCTTTACTTTGGAGGTCAGGACATCTTCATGACTGAAGAACAAAAGAAGTACTACAATGCCATGAAAAAGCTGGGCTCAAAGAAACCACAGAAACCCATTCCCCGCCCTTTGGTGAGTGAGTTGTGCAGGCGGAGGGCAAAGTGACACCCACTTGGAAAAAGACACCACTAGGGTTTCTGCAGAGGAAGGAATGGGGTGAGTGAGGGGCTGCCTGCGCCCTCGAAACCCCTCCTAGCCACTCCCCCCAAAAGGTCCAAGGAAGAGGCAGAAGAACAGAGGTTAAGGTATGGGGTAGCGTGTGCATTTGTGGTTGACCTTGCGTTGGAGCAGTCGCTGGGCAGCAGTAGAGAATCGGCATGTGAGCACAATGACTCTGGCCCTGGTGGAGACATGTTTTAGTGAAAGTTGATCTCTTTCCTACCAGTACGAGGTAGGATTTGGTTGTTAATTGCTTATTTTATCCAATTTCTCATTTTATCCAGTTAGAACGTCTTTGCACTGAAAACTTGCCCCGGGAGCTACAATATCACATCAACCTATTTGTGGGAATAGAAGAGGGGAAAGTAGGAGCATCTGCTGTCCTGCTGTCCTCTCTGGAACAGAACCTTTTGTAAAACAGACTTGGCAGCTAGGATTCAGCTTTGTGCTTGTGGTGGTTGTCCTTGTGTTTCAAAAGAGGTGACTGCTCCTGCGGCCACACGTGTTGCGGTGTGCCCACATCGCTCTTAAGAGCAGGCTCGGAGCTCCTTCTTTTGTAACTTTCATATGAAGCACCTTTTTGTTTTAAAACAGCAGAGGTCTTAAAAGATGAGCTTACCTGGTGATCTAATTTAATAAATACCCAGGCCTACCCTGTTCCTAAGTGGACCCGTCTTCTGAAGGAAAGGAAGCCCCGGGGCTTTGCAAAAACAGTTTGAAAACCACCAATTGAAAGTAATCCCGAAAAGAAGGGCCAGGTTTTTAAAAAAAATCTAGGAATTTTAAGAAAGAGAATTTTTTCCCTAATATTCTCATATGTTAGTTTTCATTTTGATAGAAACAGGACTAAAGTGAATGGCAGAGTATGTAACAGTCCCAAAGTCTTGTTCAGTGTTTTGTGCATGGGAACCTGAGTGTATTTTCTTCCACAAGAAAATCTAAAAACTGAATGAAATGTTAATGAAGAGTAATTAATACTCACTGGGCAAATATTTCTAGATCTTCCATTTACCAAGCATTAGGCACCCAGTGGTGAACTCTGCCGCCGTGGAGCTTATCATAGTGTAAGGGGACATAGATAATATCTTAGTCAGCAAACAGCTATTAAAAATGTACACTCTTGTGAGAAAAAGTTAACCATGGCCATGATAATAATGAGGTCCTCAGTTGGGGACCCACTTCGATAGAGTAGTCTAAGAAAGCCTCACCAAGAAGGGTCCATGTGAGTGGATGAAGCCAGGAGAATATGGGAAAGTAAATGAGACCCCAAAAGCAGGAAATGTCAGTGTGGCTAAGGGATGGTAAGCTGGAGGAGGGGGTGACATGAGCAGGGACATGAGTTTCACAATAGGGATTTGTTGCAAGCGCCAGGAAAGGGTCCATTTATGTTTTTAAATAACTCCACTTTCTATTGTGTGGAGATTGCATTGGAAGAGGTAAAATAGGAAGAAAGAGACCTTTACAGAAGGCCAGAGGAAATTGATAATGACTTAGGCTGGAGTAGGGTCATCAGAAATGGAGTGAAATGGATAACTTCAAGTTTATTATTTTGGGAGGCAGAGTCAATAGGCCCTGCAGCGGAGCAGAAGGGGGGTGAGGGAGATGAAAGAGACAAGGATGGCGTTCAGACTTTGGACCTGGAGACTGGATGATGCTCGCAGTGGGAGAGGAGCAGGCTGGGTGAGGGAGGTGGACTGGGTGAGGGAGCAGGCTGGGTGAGGGAGGCGAGGACTTTGTCCTTGTTGAGTTTGAGGTGCTTATGGGTTGTCAAGGAGGGAACACAGGTGGTCAGAAGAAAGATATGGGCCAGAGAAGAAAGAGCTTGAGAAACTTAAGTACTTAGGTATTCTCTAAGCAGTAGGAATAGATGAGCTTTTCTGGGAGAGAGTGTAGGGAAGAGATTAAGTAATGGCCAGTGAGTGAAGCATCTGGAGAAGCAGGAGGACATCAGAAGCAGGTGGTGTCGTAGATGCACATGGGAAGAGCGGCAGTTTGGAAAACTCTTGGGGGTGATGCTGATTTCAGCCTCGCTCTCCCTCCCCCTATCCCGATGGAGCGGCAGTGCAGAGTCTACCAGGATTACAGGAAAGAGGGCAGAGAGCTCTTCCTTAGTGGGGTGGCAACCTCCACAGTCTGCTTGGCAAGGCTTTTATGAGCCCTCTTGTGTCTTCCCTGCCCCCTAGAACAAAATCCAAGGTATCGTCTTCGATTTTGTCACTCAACAAGCCTTTGACATTGTTATCATGATGCTCATCTGCCTTAACATGGTGACGATGATGGTGGAGACAGATACGCAGAGCAAACAGATGGAGAACATTCTCTACTGGATTAACCTGGTCTTCGTCATCTTCTTCACCTGTGAGTGTGTGCTCAAAATGTTCGCCTTGAGGCACTACTACTTCACCATTGGCTGGAACATCTTCGACTTCGTGGTGGTCATCCTCTCCATCGTGGGTGAGTGGGGCCGCGGGCGGGGGTGGGGGGGACTGACTGGCCTGGAAGAGGATTCCTAGGAGAACAACAAGTTCTCTGGTCTGAAGCGCGGGCAACCCATGCGTGCACTTAGGTCGTCTGTGGGCCTGCGCAGATGGTTGCTAAACTCCTGTCTTGCTTTGAAAATTCTGTGGTTGGGGGGCAGGGGAGGGTGGCAGGGAGCAGATTGTATTTGGTTCTTGCTTTCAAGGAGTTTAAAGTCTAAAAGGGGAAGGGAAGCAAATCAAAAAGATGTGGCTTCAGTAACAGTGTCAAATGGAAAAGGGGGTGATAAGAGATGATGCTGGGGATGGGTGAAATGGTCGAGGAAAGTTCTGGCAGCTGTGATGGCAGCAGTGCTGGGCGGTCACTGGGATGTGACCAGGTGCAGTCTGAAAATCTCTCCACTGGCCTTGTCTCACTGAGCCTTGACAGCCCAGGAAGCAGGCTGTTGTACTGTCTTCACCGTGTAGGTGGCCAGGTCACTCCCTAGGAGGGCGCAGAGGCAGGACTCATGGTGGTTTTTAACACAGTCTGTGCAGCATTTTGCCTGAACCTAAAGGCACGGAGGGAGGCGTGGAGTCCCGGCGGGCCGAGGAAACGCTGTCCTGTTGGCCGTGCTCCCAAAATCCTGCCTTGTCTTTCTCAAAGGTGGTACCTTAAATGGTGAAAGGCTGCCTGGGTGCCAGGTAGATCTGACTATGTGAGCAGAGGGGGGACGTCCGAGACTCATGGGAACCAACCCAGAGCGCCCGTGGAGACCGGGGCACAGACGGCTGCCAACTCTCCCCTCAGCCTTCACATGCTCCTGTTCTGTCCTCCAGAGCAGCGTGTCCAAAAGTGTGTTGGTGTGTGGAGCCCTTACATTTCTCCCCAAGGGAAGACTCCCATGATGAAATTACTTTAGCGACACTGTGCCTTGACCCCTTTTCAGGGTGACAGTACACATTCGCTCATCTCTAAGTCTCTGGAAAGTCAGAAGAGTTCTGTTTAACTTCCACACACCACCCCATCTTTATTTGACCACACACCACCCTTTTTGTCAAAGAATAATAATGATACCACGTCTTAATGCAACATACTATGTGCCGGTCGCTGTTCTAAGCGCTTACATGTTTTCATCCCTGTAATCTTCACAATAACCTTCCAAGCATCTGAGGAATGGAGGCACAGAACTGTTACCCAGACATGGGCTGGTGAGTGAGTGGGGAGGCTCTCAAGCCAGCCCCCCCCCACCCCACTTCAAGACCACGCCCCTAATTTCCCACCAAATAGGCTTTGGACAATGCTTCTCCTCTCCAATGATCTTGGACTTTTTCTGCCCACCCATCATGATGTGGGATGGAAAATGCACAGAGCAAACCAGACCCTATTAGCAGATGACACAAATAAAGAGGAAGAGAATTGTTACTTTTGATGATTGAGGTCTTATTAAATATCAAGTTTGTTCAGAAGCAAAATTACAGAAGCTCTCTTTTTAAAAAAATATATATATATTTATTTTTATACAAGAGCTGGGGTTCAGGTCAGAGGCGCGGGAGGGTGAAAGGATTCACCAGAGACAGAGCGGGGAGCAGAACAGGCAGACAATCAAAATAACACTGCTAGGGGAGCAGCAGGCGAGACAGGAGAGGTCTGCACCACATGGGCATCTCCCTGGCTGGCCGGGAATTGAACCCGCATTGCAGAGGCTGCGGACAGCTTCACAGCGCTGCGCTCAACCTGCTGCGCCACCAGGGAGGCCCAGACGCTCTCTTTTTAAATTAAGAGGAGTTGGGTTAAAACTAGCTCTTGAACCTCCTAAAGGCCCCTTCAATGGTGTTCCTACTGCCTGGATTGTCGTCTGTCCCATCTCTCTCCCTTTTATTTCGGGACAAACACATGTTCCTCCTGCAAAACCTTACCTGCCCACCATATACAGAATGCAAGTACTAAATGCACTACCTGCCTTCTTACGGTCGCTGATGATGACTTAATTGAGAAGCAAAGGAAGAGGACAGAGAGGTCATCTGGAGTCCTAGCTGAAGCGGAGATTTCCTTGAAAGCTCAAACACCCCATGGAATTTTAGCTCGACGAGAGGTCCCGAGAAGCTCTGTTGCCAACTCTCCAAACTCACTGCAACTTGGCCCTTCTTGAAAGTTAGGATTCTTTCCTAGCCTAGAACCTTCAAGTAAGGGGATTCCATCACCTTCCGCAGTTCACTCCCCCAATGCTTATCAATCATTATGGTTAAAGGACTTTCCTTATTTAAATTAAATTCTCCTGTCAGGTGAAGGTCATGTGGAAGGTCAGGCCCGAAACAGCAGGAGAGGGCAGTGAAGGGAGAGTGTGTGTCCCTGGAGCTGTCACCCCCCTGTGTTTCCAATTTTCATCTCTTCTTCCTCCTGTGACCCCTCCGAGGCTTCTGTTACTGCTCTGTGGCTGGTCTGGTTGCATAGGCCCCTGGATGAAACAGAGTGGGGCCCTTCTTTTCTGTGTTACTAGTGCCTTGACATTTTTATCTGCTGATACTAGTTTTTGATTTTTGCCTTTCACCACAAAATCTAGAAGCTGTGAATTAAAAGCCACTCTGGGCGGATCCCTTCCGTCTTCTAAGCTACTTCTAGGTGTAGGGTAGGAACAAGGGATAAGAAGAATCCAAAGGTGTCTTTTCATGGCCAGGAAAAATGACACTTTGAAAATGGGTGATATTCTACTAAGATATCACAGCCAAAGAGCAGTAGCATCGTGGGGTGAGGCCAGGCCCTCTCCTTTTTAGTGGAAATGGAAATTGGATAACATTATGTAGAGGAATCGAGAACACTTTGGAAAGTCATGTGTGCACAAATCTGGGGCGGGGGGCGGGGGAACAGTTGTCCTTGTGAGGTTAAACAGATAAATGATGACCTATTCATAAAGTGGATTTCCAGTCCACTGTTAAAGTGAGTAATCTAAAACCATTTTAACACCAGAAAGTGATCTCACAAACGCATCTCAAAAGCAGATTAGGGATCTAAAACAAACAGACCTAAAAGGATAGCCAGAGTATAACTCCTTAAACATAACAGCACACCAGTCAGTGAAGACTGACTGACACGTTGCAAACTTAGGGAGACACCAGGATGGTACATATGGCACCTTCAGGACTGTGGTGGCTTCTGGGGATGACAAGAGGAAGCAAGCTTGGAAAACTGCTTAATCTGGGTGTTCAGCACATATGTGTCTACCTTGTTTTCTCAGCTTTTCTATGTTTCAAACATCTGGCTTTCTTATCGTACGCGCTCAAATTGAACAGGAAGCCAGGCACGCATTCGATAAAGTCCTTAGAAGGTGAGGGTTCCCTCGTGCCGGGTGACATAATCGAGAAGAAAGGGTGTCTCCAGTCTCGGTAACACATCTTCTGTTCCTCTTCTTAGGAATGTTCCTGGCTGATATAATTGAGAAATACTTTGTTTCCCCAACCCTATTCCGAGTCATCCGGTTGGCCCGTATTGGGCGCATCTTGCGTCTGATCAAAGGCGCCAAAGGGATTCGTACCCTGCTCTTTGCCTTAATGATGTCCTTGCCTGCTCTGTTCAACATTGGCCTTCTGCTCTTCCTGGTCATGTTCATCTTCTCCATCTTCGGGATGTCCAATTTTGCATATGTGAAACACGAGGCTGGCATTGATGACATGTTCAACTTTGAAACATTTGGCAACAGCATGATCTGCCTGTTTCAGATCACAACCTCGGCGGGGTGGGACGGCCTGCTGCTGCCCATCCTGAACCGCCCCCCTGACTGCAGTCTGGATAAGGAGCACCCAGGGAGTGGCTTTAAGGGGGACTGCGGAAACCCCTCGGTGGGCATCTTCTTCTTTGTAAGCTACATCATCATCTCCTTCCTTATAGTTGTGAACATGTATATAGCTATCATCTTGGAGAACTTCAGCGTAGCCACAGAGGAAAGTGCAGACCCTCTGAGTGAGGATGACTTTGAGACCTTCTATGAGATCTGGGAGAAGTTTGACCCCGATGCCACCCAGTTCATCGAGTACTGTAAGCTGGCGGACTTTGCAGACGCCCTGGAGCACCCTCTCCGAGTGCCCAAGCCCAACACCATCGAGCTCATTGCCATGGATCTGCCCATGGTCAGTGGGGACCGCATCCACTGCTTGGACATCCTTTTTGCCTTCACCAAGAGGGTCCTGGGAGACAGTGGGGAGTTGGACATCCTCCGGCAGCAGATGGAGGAGCGGTTCGTGGCATCCAATCCTTCCAAAGTGTCTTACGAGCCGATCACGACCACGCTGCGGCGCAAGCAGGAGGAGGTGTCTGCGGTGGTCCTGCAGCGCGCCTACCGGGGACATTTAGCCAGGCGGGGCTTCATTTGCAGAAAGATGACTTCCAATAAGCTGGAGAACGGAGGCACACACCAGGAGAAAAAGGAGAACACCCCGTCCACAGCCTCCCTCCCATCCTATGACAGTGTAACTAAACCCGAGAAGGAGAAGCAGCAGCGGGCAGAGGAAGGAAGAAGAGAAAGAGCCAAAAGACACAAAGAGGTCAGAGAATCCAAGTGTTAGAGGAAAGCAAAAATTCAATATTGTACAGATTTAAAACTCGCAAGTGAAAGATTGTTTACAAACTTCCTGAATATTATCAATGCAGAACAGCTGTGGAGACACTTTACCTGAAGATCTATACCAAACGTAGTCTGCTTACCGTGTCACATGGTTGCATCTTGAGCAGTGACCTGCCAAGGGCAGAGGACCCTGCTCTCTGGACTCACAGATTTTCTAATGCTTGGGCAGGTTGATACTGCATGTTCCACATCAGTCAGTGCAACTTAGGACAAAACTAACAGGATACAAAAACAGAGGCGAGGCTGCCGGGACCAGCATATTCCCGCTGCAGCCCCATGGATTTTATTTTTTCATTTTGTTGATTCTCAGAAACAGAAAGCATCACTTTAAAAGTTTGTTTGTTCATGCAAACTATACTTGCATTCTTACATTAGTTAAGCTAAGCAGCAAAAAGAAAACACACACACGCACACGCACACAGACTCACCTTTAGCCCGTGTCATTTAAGTGTCAGTTTCTTTGACATAAACCACATCTTCTCCACATGGGCTTTACATGGTTTGGAGATGGGTGGGGGAAAACAATCAGGTTTCTTCAGGCTGAGGAGGACTTGCTCAGGCTGATTCCAAACATTGTGCTCGTTCAATGCGTAGAAATGATTTGCATGATGGCATGCCGTGATCAGAAGTCATGCATGAGAACCATACACCACAGGACACTACTAATCCTGTCCCCTGCACTGGGTCAGCCTTTGGACAGGACCCAGCCCTGCACCGTTCACTGTATTTGGAGAAAAAAAAAAAAGGGGGAAGCGTTCCATACCCGCTGCAATTATTTATGAATTCTTAGAAGTCTTTCATACACCTTCTGGGTAGGGAAACATAACCAACCAGTTGACACCACCACCAACAAAAACAAACCCAGTCCGACCAGCAGCTGGATCCGTTGCGTGTATATGTTTCACAGACGTCTCTGACATACAGCCATTGTTGCACACTTTGAAAGATGAACTATTTCTTGCTGCTCTGTGTCCCGTACACGGGGAGGCTTCGATCTCGAATGGCTTGTGTTGCTAATGTCACTGTAAATCCAAATCCTAGGGCTAAAAACAACAAAAAGTTCATTTGTATCTTGCAATATTTATGATGATCGGTTTAGCCTTTCATACTCGGAGAACTCGCACTTATTTGGGGTGGAGATAAAAGTGCTATTCAAAGTAGCATGTTATCTCTAGGGGGTTATTTGGGGGACTTAAAACAACCGTTTGTTGGGGGTACAGGGGTGCTCACTTCATTCAGTGTCATGTCCTTCTGCATCGTGGCTTTCTCCGGGCTTGGGTCCACAGGGCGGGGGTTCAGGTGTTCTGGACTGGCCCCTCTCTTCCACGGAGGGGTTGTCGCAAGCTCGCACACCGCATGCTCCCTCCTGCCTCCATCATGTCCGTCCACCAAGCAGGGCTCCCCCGACCCGCAGAGGTGGGTGCGGGCAGCAGCACTGGGGCTGTCGCCGCGGTTTCTTCTGCTTGGTATTAGAATCAGTAGTCACTGGTGGGAGAGGTAGAGACGGAGCCGCCTCTGAAACGAACCCATTGCAGATGGCTTCTCTGTTGCACTGGTTCTCATGAGAAGGTGGCTTCATGAAGTTCGTTAGGATGTTCCAGCTTCCCCCAGCGCGTTCCCTGGCAGCCGGTTCTGCGCTCTGCTCGGCGACCCGCCCATCCTCACTGGAAGGTGGCTGGAGGGTGGTGGAGGGGGGATGCATCCTCGCTTCCATCCCATCTCCTGCTTTAGGGAAGACAGTCTTTAATCCAGGGGTTTCTCACCTGATGACTAGATTTCAAAGCCAAGATGCTGCAGTCGATACGAAGAAAGAGGAGAGACTTTAGCATGTGCACCAAATACCAATAAATCCTTCCTGAAGCATACCCTAGAGGGGAATACAGAGCAACCCATAATCAGACACACCAATCTGCCTTGCAGTAGAAGCACTTTGGATGTAAATCACAGTCCAGTTGACTAGTTTTGCGTAGAACAAACCACAGCAAGTCAGTCAGCAGAGCTTTCTACCGTGTCGGATCATTAGAAACTCTGTCCAGCTCTCCTTAGCCTGCTTCTGCGGCGCCACCCGTAGAACTTTTGTACTCTACCCGGTCCCAGGTTGGGAAGGCTTTTCCTTCAGTGACCCTGCTAACTGCTAGGATGAATGTATAGTAACATGTACAGGCTACATCGTAAACAGCACAAACCAGAAGACGACGTGTGGTTATTCTTTTTAAGAGAATTATAAATACTGTAATATATCATTTTATTTTATTGGCATGCCTTTTTGTAAATACAAATTATTAACTTATTAAATAGGAAATGGCTTCTGGCTTATGCCATTGTCATGTTTATTTTTATTTTTTATACTTTTCTTTCTTCTTAGAACTTAGATGCTGTCAGCCAATGTACATCCCCCAACCAGACAGACAGACAAAAAATTTTTTATTGCTAATGGTCTTTTCCAAAACAACAAAAAAATATATATATTTTTGTTCCAATGTGCAATAAATTCTAACCACTTCTATGCAAGATTTGGCTAAACTTCATAATTGCTCTTTGGTCTTGAGGTGGACAGCAGAGCTATAAGATCCTGCTCCGTACCCCAGTTGCTCATGCCAGTGATGTCATTCAGCTACTACAGCATATTAATGAGATTTTTCTGAGATCTGACCTTTTTCCTCCCCAGACCCAGATCCCAGCCCTTCCAGGCTGTCTCAGCAGCGCACACACGGGCCTTGGTGCCTGACACCCGTCAGCCAGCTTTACAGGGAAGAAACCACCCCCAGTCTATTAGTCTAGCTGAAGTTTCGCTTTTCTTTCATAACTTTTCCCACCTTCGCTCTCATCCACTGTCCCTCCACTCATTTCTCTCTCTCCTCTCTCCCTTGCTCTCTCTTGCGCTCACTCTCTCTCGCGTGCGCGCTCTCTCTCTCACCTACCCCGCTCCACACCTCTTTGGTAGTAAATGACACCATCACCAGCAGTTTACACCCGCAGTTAACAGGCATTGAACTGAAAGAACCAGGGAGGGAGTTTCTGTACCTCTTCACTGAGTGGGTTCGTGGCAACGCTTTGCCAAATATTAACGAAGCCAATCAAAAAGCAGCAGCAGACACAGTATCACTGCACATATATATATATAGATATATAAATATAATATAAATATTTATTTTTTTGTAGCCAGGTCCTTGGTGCAGTATTTATACTCCACAATCCACCTTTAAAAAAGGACAAAAAGCAAAAAGATGTGTGATGCTGTTCATTTTAAACGCAGAGCCAAAGCCACCGAGCAGCAGCTGACGCGGTTGCTGATCTGTGTGTGAAAAACACTTTGCCCTCTTCTTTCTTGAACCTTCTCGTTGGTTCGCATGAAGAGGCGTCATCATTTAAATAAAGCAGAGGGCGAGAGCAGGAAAACCTTCCCGAGTCGACACGACCTCTCCTCTCTCAATGAGCCTCTCTGGGCATCAGCAGTTAGAGTGGGGAGCGATAAGCAAGACTCCCCGCCCCAGCCCCTGGAATGACAGTGCCCAGAGTTCTTTTATTTTTCGCCGCAACCGATGTACACTTGTGGAAGACCAGGAATGAAGATGGGTGTATTCGCGAATGCGTGGAGGCCGGCGCTGCTCTCCACGGGACGTGATGGCAGGTGCATCACTCCCGGAAGCCAAAAGGAAACAATAAAAACGAGCCTTCTTACTGTATAAGGGAGCCTGTCTTGGTGTGCGTTTGTTGGCTGCCCCAGGCCGTGAGCCCCGAGAGGGTCTGGGGATCGAGATCGTAGCACGTTTGGGAAAGGGAGGGGAATGGAAGGGGGAGGTGAGAGGACGTCTCAGGGAATCCTGGCTGAGACGAGAGGGAAAAGCAAGGTTCCCTGCCCCCACCTCCGTGCCCCCTCGCCCACCGCATGTGGCACCCCTCTCCTAGGGGCCGGTGCTTCGAGGCCCATCAGACACCTTCCTCTGAAGTCCACCTGGCAGAACCCCCAGCGCTAATGTCAGCCCCCCCCCACCCCTAGCTGAGCTGGGTTCTGCCTTTCTCACCAGTATTTCAGAAAAATACTACCCAGATGCCCACAAGCCCGGGCCAGCACGCCGCCCGACAGCCTCCACTCTGCTCGCTAATGCTGGGCCCTGCCCTCCATCACCCCAACAGAGCAACAGCCACCCGGGGCTGGTCTCCCCTTCACGGTCGTGCGGGGGCGAGGGGCGCCCCTCCCTTCCCCTCCCCCCGCCCTGCTTCGGGGACATCCCCTCTAGGCCATGTCTCCAGGTCCAGGAACATTCTCAGGAGGATTTTGAAGTGCCCACTCTAGTCCGCTCCAGTAGCTCCGCTTCGGAGAGAGATGTCTGGTAGGTCAGTCCCCAACCTCCTCCCCATGGCCTCCGGCCCCCGGGCCCGCGGTGGAGGCGCGCTCGCCATGGGCAATGACTTCGTGACTTGAGTCCTGGGCATCTTCTGTAACGATGCCTCTTTCTTTTCTCAGATGTTGCCCAAAGTTTTGCAAAAAGCTTCGTTCATTTTCAGGTACCCCCACCCCCTAAAGAGTCGGCTGTAACTAGCCAGTCAGGGGGACATCAGGAGCCTTGAGGAAGTCCGGGTGGGGAGGGCCCCGAGGTTTGCACAGTCTGGGTCGTGGCTCGGTCCGGTGCTGTCTTGGATTCCCTCCCCAAGAGGACCAGGATTTCCTCCAGGAAAACGCTCCTGAGGCACCCTCTGCCCCTGCCCCCCACTGCTGTTTGCTGTACATAGAGGCTACGTGGGGTGGGGTGGGCGGGTGTGCACGTGTGGTGTGTGTGTGTGTGGAGAATGTATATAGGTAAAGGGGAGCGTGGTCCAGTGGTTCCAGAAAAAGGGACAGAACTCCTGCGGCGTTCCATCCCCAGCTCGACCGCTGGCTCGCTGTGTGGCCTTGGGCAAGTCACTTAACCTCTCTGTGCCTCAGTTTCCCCATCTGTAAAATGGGGATAATAATACTGACCTACCTCACAGGGGTGTTGTGAGGCTTTAACTAAATGTTTTGTAAAGTGTTTTGAGATACAGAGGCAAAGGCACTAGGGACAGGCGAAGTATTATTTGGACTTAAGGAAGATGAAATGGTACCATAAATGCTGCTATTCTGAGAGCCATTTTAAACTGCACTGCTCCAACCACCCCCGCTTCTCATCACCAGGACAGCAGGTCGAGAAAATGTCTTTCCTTTCACTTGCTTCTGGGGTTTGTGATTATTCTAGACACAATTTCTGTCCCTCGCTGTGTCTCCTTCCCTCACCCCCTCGACTTGTTCCCTGTTCCGTTTATGCGGAAATGGCAGAAATGCTTGAGAAATGAGAATGTATAAGTGGATTGGAAGTTTATAGTCTGATATTTCAATTTTACTTTGTACTGTACATCTTTTTACTTTAGAATTTGCAATAAAGGGTTACGTCAATCTTGTTTTCAACTCTCCTCTTGGACTGGCCTGTCATTCTGTCACTGCTCTCACACCGAAGCCCCCGAAGCCCCGAGCCAGCACGCCCGGCTGCAGGGTTAGGACTGTGTGACTTGAGTCCTGCGCGTCTTCTGTAACGACGCCTCTTTCTTTCCTCAGATGTTGCCCGCAGCTGTCCCTCCGCCTCGCTCTGTGGCAGGGGACAGGGTCTCAGCAGACTACGCGAGGCCTCACCCAGGCTCAGCCCCGCAGATCGTCCGGCAGCACCGGGCCACGGAGGCGGGTGGGAAATGTCTCCTACTCCAGTTAGACCTTCAGGAAGGCTGGCCTGGCCTGAGGAGCCTGGAGCAGCCCCCTGAAGTAGGCACACCCCCTGGCCGTCCCGACCCCCACGCTCCGGCAGGACCTCATGTGCTGGCCCCTTCATGTTCCCCAAGTTGTCTTACTATCCCCAGATCATGCCTTCAGGATGACGGACTCTCAGGTCGGGTGGCTCCGGGTTCAAACACTTGGCTGCCGCTACGTAGTTGTGGCCAGTGGGCCTTACGTGTGACGGAGAGAATACCCTCCTTTTGGGGTTCTGAGGATTACCTCACACAATTTATGGGGCTGCGGAGCCCCGGGCCTGGAGACGGCAGGCCCTTGGTGGCAAACAGTTGCAAAATAAAGACCCGCGGCTGGCATGAACGGGGCCTGCCTTCCCCCAGGGTAGGGGGCACCTGAGCCCTCCCTCCCACGGGCGGCTGGACAGTCGCGACCGACAAACATGCACCGCGCCCTCTTTCGCGCTCTGTGACGTTTATAGCGTTTCTGAGGCCTCTCAGGCAGCGCTGCGCCGGGACGGCGCCGCCATTTTCCAGCAGGGGCCCCTGAAGCAGGGGTCCGACTTCTAGCGCGGCTCCTCCGCCAAGAGCGGCTGCACCTCCCACCAGCCCTGCGCCTCCGAGGGCCCGAGCAGGGGCGCGGCGGGGGGCCCGGGGCTGCGGGGCCGCGCCCCGTGGCCGTCGCCCCCCGCGGCCCACTGCGCGAGCAGGACGGCCAGCGCCCCGACGCCCAGCGCCCCCACGAAGCCGGAGAGGAGGCCGAGCGCCAGCGGCCCGGCCCAGCCCAAGGGGTCGCGCGTGTACGGGGCCCGGGGCAGCCGCTCCACGATCAGGTCCAGCGCGTCCCAGTCGGGCTCGGGCGCCGGGGCGCGGCGGGCGCGGGGCCGCGGGGGCGCGGCGGGCGCGGGGGGCGCGGGGGGCGCGGCGGGCGCGGGGTGGCCGGGCGGGGCCGGGGCCAGGAAGCCCCGCCCGAACTTGCGCAGCTGCAGCGTCGCCTGCTGGTGGAGGTTCTTGCTCAGCTCCCGGGCCACGTCGGGGCGGCCGCAGCGGCGCAGGGCCCGGGCCACGTGGTCCCAAGAGAGGGCCTGGGCCCGGGCCTGGGCGGCCAGCCAGACCGCCAGGCGCTCCCGGCAGCCGTCGGACTTCTCGGCCGCCTCGGCCGGCTCGTCAGCCGCGCGCCGGGCCGCCTCCTGCGGCCCCGACGAGGCCGGCCGGGGCTTGGTCGGCGTGGCCAGCTGGTCCTCGGAAAGCCTGGCCAGCTCGCTGTCGAGGTCCGGCTGCGGCGTCTTCAGGAGGGCCTGGAAGTGACCGCACTCCTCCGGGGTGAGCAGCTCCGCCACACGCACGGCCAGGTGAGGGCCCATGGCGTCCCCCGCGCCCGCCGGGGCCAGCGCCCAAGTCCACAGCCCCAGGGCCAGGGCCGCTGCTGCTGGAGCCACGGTCGTCGCCATGGCACCGAGGCCTGTGGGGCGGGGCTCGGAACGCGGCGTGGGTGGGCGGCGCCCCCGGGCGGTGGGAGCCAGGCCTCGGGCGGGGGAGCGCGCAACACCCAGGCGCAGTTGGGGCCCCCGGACACCCTGGAGCTGCAGCTGGAGAGTTTCCCAATACCGGGCCTCCCTGGTGGCCTAGCGGTGCCGTCTCAGCGGGGGGCTGACCCCCATGGCGCGGCAGACCTCTCCTGTCTCCCGCGGCCCCCTCCGCCGTGGGTTTCAGTGGATCCGCCTGTTCTGCTCCCCACTCTCTCTGGTGAATCCTCTCAGCCCCCCCCACCTCTGGACTACACCCCAGTTGTTCTACATAAAAAGAAAACAAGTTTCCTAATACCCAGGGATTGGGTGGGGCTCAGAACCCCAAGAGGCAAGGATCACCGCCTGGGCGAGGTCTCCTGCTGGCTCACTGCGGGCTGCTGACATAGCAAGTCTCAACACCCCACTAATCCAGTCACCGCCCCCACTCCCAGTCTGTCGCCCCGACGACCCCTTGCCTTCCTTATCTCCAGTATCTCTAAGGTCCAGTCAGCGCCTCGGTTCTCTTCTCAACCCTAGGTACTTAAAGACTCCCATTTCCTGTCCTCCTCCTCCTGCATCTAAACCCTCATCCTGGGCCTCCCTGGTGGCGCAAGGGGGCAGGATGCAACCTGTGAAGCTGTCGGCAGCCTCTGCAGCACGAGTTCCATCCCCAGCCAGGGAGCTACCCACATGGCGCGGCAGACCTCTCCTGACGCGCCCGCTGCTCCCCTCAGCAGTGTATTTCATCAGTCTGCCTGTTCTGCTCCCTGCTCTGTCTCTGGTGAATCCTCTCACCCCCCACACCTCTGGCCTATACCCCAGCTCTCGTATGCATAGATAAATAAATCTTTTTAAAAAATAAATAAATAAACCCTCATCCTCTCCTGACAGGGTGAAATGAGCACCTCGGTTACCCTCCCCTTCACACACTACGGCCCCACTTACTGCCTCCCCCCAGGTCTTGGCCATGTTGTGCTCTGAGTACACACTCCTGCTGTGAGAGCCCTTCTGGGGAGTCTCCCTGAGGCAGGAGCTCCCACGGCACGGCAGCTGCAGCTCTGGCCCGTACTGTCTCTGCACTAGACTAAGGTCTGCCTGGCCTCCCCAGCAACTAGTGCACCGTAAGTGTTCAGGAAAGGTTTGCTGAATTAGTATGATTTCTTAACTCACAAATCAGTCCCTGTCTACAAGCCATCAGCCCCCTCCCCCAGCATCAACCCAGGCTTCAGTGAGCCTCCGCAGAAGACATGGAAGGTTCTAGTGAGGCAGCGTGGCCCCAGGGATTTTCCACCCACTCTTGCCCTCGCTTTGTCCTCTATTCCTTTCCAGTCCTCATAGTTTTGTCAGCTTTGTGGGGCTGTCCCGGGGAGCTTTTTTTTTTTTTAAAGATTTATTTATTTATGCATACAAGAACCGGGGTACAGGCCGGAGATGCAGGGGGTGAAAGGATTCACCAGAGACAGAGCGGGGAACAGAACAGGCAGACTGACTGAAGTACACTGCTGAGGGGAGCAGCGGGCGAGTCAGGAGAGGTTTCCTGTGCCATGTGGGTTTCTCCCTGGCTGGCCGAGGATCGAACTCGTGCTGCAGAGGCTGTGGATTGCTTCATAGTGTGGTGCTTAACCCTTGTGCCCCCAGGGAGGCCCTGTACCAGGGAGTTTTTTGACACCACACATATCTCCACCACCACCACCACCACGAGTGGGAACTTCTCTGGGGATTCTTGAGAAGCTGTGCCTCCTCCAGCAGGATTACCTGGAAATTAATTTGAAGATTCACTCAACATTTATCCAGTATCTTCTGTGTACCAAATATTATGTCGTGTGAGAATATAAAATGTTTTTTATATGGTCCCTCCTCAAGCAGCTTTTAATCCACTTGCATTTTCAAATGAGCGATTTCTGAACTTCCCCTGGCCGTGTCACAGGCTCGCCCCAGCAGGGGCAGGGCCTGCCCACTTCTGCATGGTCGGTGCTGTGCACGTGTGCAGAGAGCAGTTGTGTAACAGACAAGAGTGGGGGGTGCCCTCTGGGCCTCCAAGGGCCTAGACAGCTGAGGCCACTGAACCCCGGGGCAGGCATTGCCCTGGAATCCACTGTCCAGGCAGCCACCAGTGTTTGTGTCCCGGGGGAAACTGCTTGGTGGCGTCTCCCCCGGGACTGTCTCTGCCTCTTAAAAGCCCAGGGCCTGCCCTGAGCCGCGGAAGGACCCCGAGTAACTGCTCCCTTGCGTTCTGCTGTATTTTCCATAATTTTGCTCACACTGTTCAAGGACCTCCGCACACCCCTGGGTATCTGCACACAGCCTTTCCCGCAAGGGTGTTCCTTCCTAGTTTTCTCAGCCTCTCAGTTTATGAACTGCCAGAGAGTTTGGGGTTGACAGAGGGTGGCGGACAAAGGTAACCCCGTGACCCTCAAGGCTGAAACTAGCTGTCTCCCCACCCTGCCATCCCTCCACTTCTGCAGCACAGGATGGGAAGCGCAGCCCACCTCCGTGCAACAAGGGCCACCGTCCAGGTACCAGGTGAAGCCTCCTCTTCGGCTCCTGTTCCTCCACCCACGCCTTTGCTCGTGCACGCATTTGTTCACTCACTCACTCACCAGACACGTCAGCCCTTCTTTGCTGCTGACACTTCAGGGCTCTGGAGGGACAGTGAGTCAGCCCCAACTCTCAGCCTCTGAGAACTCAGGATTGCAGAAGGGGTCTGGGGGCTGTCAGAACCCCAGTGTGGCTTTTTGCCCTGCAGCCTCAGTGCCCCGCTCCTGGTTGCCAGGAGTGCGAGTGTGGAGCCCACACGCATCATGTGCCAAAGGAAAAGGAATTCCCAGAGAGCCACCGGCAGTGGCTGGATGCCCAAGCACTCCTCAGAGGGCTCCCCACATCCCGCTGCCCCCAAGAAATCCTCTGGAAACCACATATCATCACTTTAATACTGTGTAATACTTTCTTTTAAAATACAGTCTCTTCTGAGGTAGAAAGACCACAACTGCAGAGCATCATCAGACAGGAGATAAATACGTCCATGTACAACACGCAGCAAAATGAGGTAGAAATGGTTACAGCTGGAGGAGATGACCCCAACCCCAGTCTGGGCAGAGGAAGGAGAGGGCCCGCTTGCTGAGTCTGCCCTCCCCCGGCCCCTGCCCCTGGATTCTTTGGTATGCCCCCCCCCCACCAACATTGCCAGAGCCGGACCTGCCCTCCCCTGCCCGCGCCAGGATCCATGAGGTAGGTGCTGGTAGACCGGGGCTGTCCCTTGTGCAAAGTTCCCCAAGGCCAGTAGAGAGGGCGGTGGGGCCCTGGTTCTCCGCCAGTGAGTTTCTTTCTCCCTGAAACCCTTAAACCCCCCCATATACATTACACACACCTGAGAGAACTTTCCCCGCCCCGCCCCTGCTCCCTGGCCCTTTCATAGCCCGGACCGGACCGGAGGCCCCTGGCTTCTGAGACACCGGAGTCCTGCCATCAGCCGCCGCCATGGAGAGGGAGAAGGGGTGGGGGAGAGGGACAGAGCAGCTTCCCTGCTAGAGCTCCTGGGCCGGCGTGGGCCCTCTGCACCTTGGCACCTGAAAATGTCCCCCACAGACACCCGGCTGGGAACAGGAGGTGGCGCAGAGACTGTAGGAGCCGAATGGAGGACTGGGGAACAGGACGGGAGGCTGGGGTGGGAGAGGTGAGGGGGGAGGGCCTATCTACCACCCCCTCCCCTTTAGACCAGAGTCCTGAGATGGGGGAAGGAGGCAAACCACTGAAGCCCCATCTGGGGTGTGGTGAGGAGAGAGAGGTGCTTCTCAGAGCCTCCAAGCCTGGGCTGCTTTCTGGTGGCAAGTTTGCATGAAACTCAAAATGAACTGCCAATGTCAAGGAAAAACAGCCCGCACGCCCCACCCCACCCCACCCCCGTTAGGGTGCAGCCCAGGGGCTCCAGACCCAGGACCGAAGAATGGGCATCCCGGACCCTTCCCAGACGGGTGCCCACACCTCCCCCAGCCAGGCAAGGCCAGGTCTGGGTAGAGTTTAATGCCAGCCAGATGGGTGGCCACGTGTCTTCCTTCCCGAGGGAGCCGTCAGCCAGGTACAGGAGTCCTCTCGTGCCAGGTAAAATGATGCCCTTTCTACCTAGGTAACCTCCCACGGAGGCCCCCTCAGCGGGCTTCTGGGGTCCGGAGCAGGACGTGGACAAGGGCAGACCAACTCTGGACAGTCTTTCACAGCAAACACAAACAGTGAGTGGAAGGGCGGCCGGGTGGGCACGAACACCCACTCTCTTCAGTGCCGCCTCCCTCCCTCCCCCGCCTGCAGCCTTGGGCCTGAGAGGAAGCCCTGGAATACATTCTGCTTCTGTCCCAGGGCAGGCAGGGGCTTCAGCGAGGCCTGAGGCTTCCTCTCCCCTTCCCCGCAAGGCTCACTTTCTGAGTCTTCTGAGGGAACCTGCTCCCCTGGGGGGTGACAGTTGGGGGGGGACACACAGGAGAGCAGCCAAAGTCTAACATTCTTTCTGAGGTCAGTTTCTTCCTGAGTTGTCAAAGAAAAAGAAAAATGGCAGTTCTACACATCTTACAAAAATAAGAGGCCTAAAATATTAAACAAGCTACATTTCCGGGGCTTCCCCCTCAAAAACAAAAAAGAAACCTTCTTTGGGTGCTTTTTCCTTGACCCACCCAACCCCCCACACACACACACCCTCCAGACCCAAGGTTTCAGCTGGGTGACCCGCGGGTCCCTGCCCGTCCTCGTCCTCGGTCCCGGCGGGACACAGAAGCGCAGAGGGGGGTGTAGGGGAAGGTGGGGGGTGGGGAGCAAAGATAAAGAGGGCGAGAAGGGGAGGGGGGCGGGTCAGTTTGGTTAGTGCCAAAGCCTGGGGGGGCAGAGAATTACCCGGGACGAGAAGGGGGTGGGGCTGGGAGCTGGGGGGAGGAGGGAGCCGTTCCGAGAGCGAGAGCGAGGAGACGAAGGGATTGTGGAGAGAAAGCTGGGGTTCCTCAGCCGTCGGCGGGGCCGGGGGAGCCTCCCGTCCACAATAAATAGGGAACACCTGAGTACACCGCGCATATGGCGACTCTCTGCCTAGCAGAAGCGTTTTCCTTCCACGAAAAAACATCCGTCCACAGCCCCCCCCCCCCACCAGCCCTCGCCGGCGCCCCCGGGCGGCTCGGGGAAAGCCCTCCCGCCGCGGAGGGCGCGCGAGGCCGGGCGGGCGGCTCCCGGCGCGCCGTCAGTGTCCGGAGCCGTACATTTTGTCCCACTCCACGAACGAGTCCAGGTCTTTGGGGGAGGCCCTGGGGACCGCCTTGGCGAGCGCCGCCTCCAAGTCCTTGTAGGAGAGGGGGCGCTGCAGGCCCGCGAGGCCCGCGCCGGCCGCCGCCTGCTGGCACAGCTGCCCGAGCTCGCCGCCCGAGAAGCCCTGCGTGCCCTGCACCAGGGCCGCGAGCTCCCGCTCGCCCAGCGCGCAGCCCTGCCGGGCCAGGGCGCGCTGCAGGATCTGCCCGCGCGCCGGGCCGTCGGGCAGCGCCACGTAGAAGCGGAGGGCGAAGCGCCGGCGGGTCGCCTCGTCCAGGGCGGCGGGCCGCGAGGTGGTGCCCACGACCAGCACGCCGTCGGGGCCCGCGCCGCAGCCGCCGTCCAGGCAGGCCAGCAGCGGCGCCTGCAGCGCGGCCGCGGCGCCGTCGTCCCGGGCGGGCAGCAGCGCGTCCAGCTCGCTGATGAGCAGCACGGCGGGCGGGCGGCAGCGCGCGGCGGCGAAGGCGGCCTGGAGCAGGTGCGCGCCCTCGGCGGCCCCCGGCGCGGCCAGCGCCGCCCCCCGCAGGCGCAGCAGCGAGGCGCCCAGCTGCGTGGCCAGGCAGCGGCCCAGCAGCGCCTTGCCCGCGCCGCGAGGCCCGAAGAGCAGCAGCGTGCGCGGCGGGCCCGGGCCGCCGGGGTAGGCGGGCGGCCGCAGCAGCGGCCACACCAGCCCCTCCTCCAGCGCCGCCTTGAGCGCGCCCTGGCCCGCCACGTCGGCCCACTGCACCGGGGGCCCGCAGTCCACCATCTTGCTGGCCGCCAGCTCCAGGGCCGCCGCGTCCACGCCCTTGGGGGGCTCCGCCGACGGCACCGCGAAGGCCCCGCGCGCCGCGGGCGCCAGGGCGCGCTCCGGGAACTTCTCGAAGGGCTCGAGCTGAGGGCCGTAGACGGGCGCGCCCAGGGCCTTGAGGGCGCCGCCGCCCCCGTACTTGCCCGCCGGCTCCTCCGCGGCGCCCGGCGGCTTGGCGCGGAAGCCGTTGCCCCGGCACTCGCCGCGGTCCCCCGCGGGGTAGGCGGCGCCATCGGACGCCGGGGCCTTGGGCTCGTAGGCGAACTTGCGGTAGCGGCCCTCGGCGCCCTCGTCCGCGGCCTTGCGCTTCAGCGACACCCCGGCCTCCGCCCCCGGGGCCGCGGCGGGGAAGCCGTAGGGCGCGGGCGCCGGCCGGGGCGGGGCGGGCGCGGGCAGCGGCGTGGGCGCCGCCAGGTAGGGCCCGGGGGCGGCGGCGGGGCCGGGGGCGGCGGCAGGGCCCCGTAGCCGGGCTGCGCCGCGTAGCCCCCCGCGGGGTAGTTGTACAGGGGCCCCGAGGGGCCGTAGCCCGGGGGCGGGGGCTGCAGGAGCGCGGCGGGGGGCGGCGGGGGCAGCGCGGCGCTGGTCTGCGCGCAGTAGCCGGGGGCCAGGTAGCCGCCGCCGTAGCTCGCCGGGTACTCGGGCGCCGCCGACGGGCCGCCGCACGCATTGCCGGGGTAGAGGGGTTCAGGAAGGTTCCGGCTAAAACCGGGGAGCCCCCGAGGCCCCCGGAGGCTCCCCCGCTCCCCGCCTTGGCTCCCGGCAGGCCCTCGTGGAGGGAGGCCAAGGGGTAGGGCGGCTCTGGCCCTGGCCAGGGCTCGGGGTCCGCCTTGGCGCCGTTGAGGAAGGCGGCATCGCCGTAGCCGCCCAGGGCGGGGCGCTCGTAGGGCGAGTCCAGGACCCCGGAGTACTTCTCGGCGTAGCGCTTGAGGAGGTTGGAGGCGGTGAGGGCAGAGATGTCGTCGTGGGCCCAGGCGTAGTGGCAGCGCTGGCGACCCCCTGGGGGGAACTCCAACTTGTGGGCCGGAGAAGGGGTGGTCGAGGAGACGTCCAGGTGCTGCTCCGGCCACTGGTTGAGGGGCTGGGCGTGTTCTGGTGTCCAGTGCATCTTCGACAGAACTGTGGGCAAGAGAGAGAAGCGGCTAGTGAGCTCCTGCGGGGCCTCTGAGGACCCGGCCACCGCTGGCCACAAGCCAGCCCCTCGGCCGCAGCTCAGGACGGGCCGGGGGCCCAGCCCCCACCAGCCCACCTTCCTCGGGCACCCTTCTGGCACCAGATACACAACACCTGACTTGCCCCTCAGGCCGGGATTAAAGTCACCTGCAAATACTTTCCCAAGCACCAAGAGGGATCTGGAAACATGTCTGGCCCTAACTCATCCTACAGGCAATGAACATTACTTCTTCCTGGCCAGGACAGGCCTGGCCTCTGGAACACATGTAGTGCAGGGTCAGGCAACGGGTGGGAATAGTCAAACCGGGTGGACTTACTCAGTCATAGATGTCTGCTGCACGCCCAGCACTGGCAGGGGAGGCACTGGGACTGTGTGAGGGTGAGTGAGGCCTGCAGGGCCCTGGCCTAGTGACCCAGCAGTTGAGTCCTAAATGCTCAGTTTACCTCAGCCTTGCTTAAGGTCAAAGCAACCGCTAACTGTAGGAGACCCCATGCTCCCTGGGAAACCCCAGAGGCCTGCCCCGAGGTAGTCACTTCTTTCTTCTTGGTTTCTTTTCATCTCTACCTGATGGACGCAGAGCACCCGGCTTCCAGCCCCAGCCCTGTGCACGATGGCAGTGATCCCGGAGCAGCTGCGGCCACCCGCCTCCTTTTCAGGCTGTCTCACCCCAGTACAAAAAGATTGTTTAAGACAGACACCCTATTCCCGGGGAGGCAGGGCTTAGTACGTGCAATGCCGGTCCTAGAAAGTGGGTCACAATTTTGTCTCAGAGCTTCCCAGAACCAGCAAAAGAGGGGACAGGAGCAGACACACTCTGCAAAGTAAGAAACACTATTCCTCAAAGGAAGCAAGAAGGTTCTTGGCATAGAGATGCGGAGCTTTCTTGGACCTCAGCACACAGACCTGTGGGGCAGAATAAACAGTATCCTCTTAACTGCCTGTGCCATGAGCCTGGCAGACGTGTTCCACGGCTGCTTCTGACACTGTCCCTTGGCACTTAGTGAAAAGAGACTCAGCCTGAGGAAGGCACCGTCCGGCACGTGGCTCCAGTGAGTTGGCCTGATCTGAGGACAAAATCCCAAAGACTGAATGGACCCAGAAATGGTGTTTGCTGATCATTTCTCAAACCTGCGCTTGAGAAATGTAAGTTCACCTTCGAAGTTCACTATCTTTTCTGCAACACATTTTCATTGGCCAAATACTAAGTGTTGTGCCAGGCACGGGGCAGAGCGAATGGTGAATAGGATGGTTCAGCCAGGGGGAGGAGACAGGCAGACAACACGCTTTGTGAGGAGGGAAAATACAGGTGTGTGCCTAATGCTCGGGCTCGGGGGACATGCCACGTCTGCTTGAGAAGGCCTCGCCGGGGAGGTGGTGTCCTTAGAGACCCGGAAGGGTAAGGCAGGGGACCTCAAGCGCCTTCAGAGGAGCACAGAGACAGCAGAAAGCTTGGGCTGCACCAATGCATGTGCCCTAGTCCCTTCCTCAGGACACTTTACTGCCACCTTCTGGAACACTCATAAACCCACACGTCGGCCTTGTGTATGGCACAGATCTTGCCCTCTCAGAAGTCTCGCGTCAGTGACAACCCACCTAGCCATGCACTGCAAGCCTGGAGGGGGCCCAGGAGATCCCGGCCTCGGAAGCGGGCGTGTGGTGGAGAGGGTGGCAGAAGACGCTGAAAATAACCAAGTTGCTTCTGGGTTCTCCACAGTTGCCCACACCTGCGCCGCTTGTTGACAACACCACCTCCGTTGATCTCACTGCCCCCCCTTTTTTTTGGTTTAGATTTATTTTATTTATTTATGCATACAAGAGCTGGAGTGTAGGCCAGAAGTGGGGGGTGGGGGGTGAGAGGATTCGCTGGAGACAGAATGGGGAACAGAACAGGTGGATCTACTGAAATACACCGCTGAGGGGAGCAGCAGGTGAGACAGGAGAGGTCGGCTGTGCCATGCACCATGTGGGTCAGCTTCCCAGCTGGGAAATCAAACTCATGCTGCAGTGGCTGCCGATAGCTCTATAGTGCTGCGCCACCAGGGAGGCCCTCACTGCCTCTTATGCCTGCACCTGCTGTCAGTGGGAGAGGACAGGCTTTGAAAACGAAGTAATCTCATGCCCACTGCCCTAGGGAAGGCATCGACCAAAGATGTGAAAACTTAAAAGGGAAAATTAAGTTCTTAAAGTTGCCGTGCCTCCACCTGAGAGGTAATCCTGGCCACCCACAGCAAGAGGGCAGAGAGCAGAGACAGTAGGCCCAGGGGGGGGGGTGGGCAGAGCCGCAGCTCTCAGCTCCTGCCGAGAGGGGTCTCCAAAGAACAAGCATTGCCTGGCATCAAAGGGAACAATTCTTTGTGGCCATGGGGAGCTCCCTAGTGTTCTTGTTCTGCAAGGTAAAGTCAGAGTTGTACAAATGCAGATACTGTGTTATGACATGGACCCCAGACCTCTTTTTACTTATTCCCTGTTACCAGGGCTTTGCCCCCTTAAAATGGAAGAAAAAGATTAGACCTTCGCGGTGATTCTTTACCCGAGCATATGAAACTGGGGGAAGTGTCCCTTTTCCCTGTTCTACCCCCCCCACACACACACAGGAAGGAAGGCCCTGGTGCTGGACTTAACCCCACACATTCCCATCACCCCTGCACGACCCCCTCCTTCACCATATCCCTGTCATGCAGCGACCTCCCTGCCGCTCAAGCCCCCACCCTCAGGACCACACGCCGGGCCCTGGGCATCACAGGTTGCTCTGCCTCGCAGCTGTGACCTCCAGGAGCCCTCCTCTGATCCTCCAAACCTGTCCTCCCAGCACAACCCCCCCTGTCTCTCTACTCCGGGATTGCCCCTCCCTGGGGGTGGGGGGGCTTCATCTTCACACTGTTCACCTGACCTCTACCCACAATCCCCAAATACTGGCCCTTCCATCCCAGGCATGTCTCTCCCATTTTAGCAGGCGGCGCAGCTCGCTTCCCTCTTACTCTATATCTACACCCACTGCCGCCAGGAGGCCTAAGGGTCCAGCCACCCAGACCCTTGACCCGGCCTGACTCGGGCTGTGACTACAGAGCGCCAGGGTTAAGGATTTCTCCTCCCTACCCAGACCCACCCAAAGAGCAGGCTCAGCCTAGGACTGGAGGAGGCTGCCTGGCCTGCACACAGGCCGAGAACGCGGGCCCACGTGAGCCTGGGACACACCAGTGCAGGTGCTCACACCGCTGGACCCCACACAGACGGGCACGGCTGAGGGCGCACATGCGTATGTCCATGTGTATCTCCCTCCCGCCCCACCTCCTCTCTTTCTCTCTCACGTGTGCGTGCATACACACACACACACACACACACACACATACACGAGTCTGATGGAGACTCAGTAGAAAAATTCAGGGTGGCAGGTCTCCCAAGGACAAACACCAGAGGTGGGGGTAGGGATGGTCTTAACTTACACTAAATCTCTGTGGAAGTTTCCAGGAATCTAAGGTGGGGTCAAAAAAGCTCTTCAGCCAGAGGTGGGGGCAGAGAGGATATTGATCATAGAAGACCAAGCCAACCTGACCCCAAGGGATAAATGCCATATGCAAAACAGCCAAAGAACTGTCCCTTTCCCCGCAAACCTGCGTCCGATAAGCATTCACATCCCCGTGCTGAGCACTGGTCCCTACTTGGCTCTGTGGCCTTCCCTGGGGGTGCCAGGGACTCTGCAGGTCCTGGCAGCCAAGAGCCCTCGCACACACAGAAAGCTAGAACTTCCCTTCACTCTACCCAGACTCTACCTTCAAATTCATAGATGATCAATGAAGAGTAGTGGAAAGAAAAACTGGATGCGAGGGTAAAGAATTCCTTAAGCCCCTTAATTCCTTAAGAGTTCAGAAGTTGGGCCTCCCCGGTGGCGCAGCGGTTGAGCGCTGGGTTGCGAAGCGGCCCGCAGCCTCTGCAGCGCCGGTTCAATCCCTGGCTGCTCCCCGGCCACTGGAGGAGGGTCCCACATGGCGCGCAGACCTCTCCTGCCGCCCGCTGCTCCCCTCAGCAGTGGACTTCGGTCCTTCTGCCTTCTCTGCTCCCCGCTCTGGCTCTGGTGAATTCTCTCACCCTCCAGCGCTTCTGACTGTACCCAGTGCTTGTATAAATAAATAAATTAATTAAAATAAAATAAAATAAATCTTTAAAAAAAAAAAAGAGTTCAGAAGGTCTCCAGGATCAATGAGAGAGCAATTCAGCCTTCACAAATGGCCAAAGCATTCTGTGCCAACTTCTCCCCACCTGGACGATGCCAAGGGTACTGTAATACTTTGATTTACAACATGAAAACTGTGTTTAGTCTTTGTCCACTGTCCCTGGCTCACAGCTCCCAAAATACTAAGCCTAAGAGCAATGGGAATATTTTTTGCTATAATATTTGGTCTATTGTCTTCATTTTTGGAAATAGCCTCAGAGCAGTACAGGTGAGGTGGGCATCTTATTATGCATTAGCCAACCCCTTTCAGTAACACCGGAGTACTTGTTAAGATGTGATTTTGGGGGCTTCCCTGGTGGTGCAAGGGGTGTTAAGATGCAACCTATGAAGCTAACCACAGCCACTGCAGCATGAGTTCGATCCCCGGCCAGGGAGCAACCCACATGGCACAGCAGACCTCTCCTGTCTCCCCGCTGCTCCCCTCAGCAGTGTATTTCAGTCAGTCTGCCTCTTCTGTTTCTCACTCTGTCCCTGGTGAATCCTCTCACCACCCCCCCATATCTGGCCTGTACCCCAGCTCTTGTATGCATAAAAATAAAATCTTTAAAAAAAAAGATGTAAGTTTTGGAAAGACCCTCTATAACCTAAGGATGAGGCCTGGTTCCCAGAGGAACCAGCCAAGATGAGAGGTTAGAACACACACACACACACACACACACACCCCAGAGAGGAGAGAACCTGGGGGTGGTTTTTAGTCGGCAGTGGCCCATGATTTCATCTGTCATGCCTGCCTTTTGGGTTTTTTTTTGTTTTTTAAAGATTTATTTATGCATACAAGAGCTGGGACACAGGCTAGAGATGCGGGGGGTGAGAGGATTCACCAGACACAGAGCGGGGAACAGAACAGGCAGACTGACAAAATACACTGCTGAGGGGAGCGGCGGGCAAGGCAGGAGAGGTCTGCTCGCCATGTGGGTTGCTCCCTGGCCGGCCGGGGATTGAACTTGTGCTGCAGAGGCTGCGGGTCGCTTCATAGTGCGGTGCTTAACCCCTTGCGCCAGCAGGGAGGCCCACGCCTGCCTTTTGAAGGCTCCACAAAACCAAGAGGGATGGGGCTTGGAGAGCTCCCAGGTTGAGACCCGTGGACGGGCCGGGAGAGGGGCGCGCGGGGTGTGGAGGTGCCATCCTTTCCCACATGCCTCGCCCTGTGCGTCTGGAACCTGCTTAACAAACTGGTAATCGAGTGAGTAAGTTGGCTCCGTGGGGTCTGGGAAGAACTCCGGCGGCGAAGCAGTCGAGCCAGAGGCTGCACGTCGGCAGGAATATGCCGCTGGCCGGGCGGGGAGGGGGAGGTCGGCTGGGCCTGGGGACGTGACAGCATCCCCGGGAGACAGTGTCAGGACTGAGTTAAAATATAGGACCCCCGAAATCGCTCTATGTGTGGAGACGCCCGTGGAGTCCAGCGTGACGCAGTGGGGGAGGGTAGCGAGGGCGAAGGCAAAGCAGAGCGCTCCCCCACGCAGCTCCTAGGTGCGCCCCCACCCTGGCCAGGGACCCTCCGCGCCGTCACTGTGACCAGAAGCCAGAGGCCCAGCCCCCCGGCACCTCCGCTCAGGCATCCAATGAATGAGACGGCGTCTTGCTCCCAGGAACCCCGGGAGAGTACAACTGATCAGGGTGCACGGGAAGTGCAGCCGCAGGGGCCACCCCGAAGGAGGCTCTGACACCCCTCAGCCCTTCCCCAGCTTAGCCGGCTCAGAATCCCACCCGCCGGCGCGGGCAGGCAGCGAGGGCTGGACGGAGCGGGGCTGGGGCGGGACAGGGAGCGGGCGGCCGTGTGGCGGCTGCAGGCCTGAGTGGAGAAGGAACTCCTGGGCGAGCTGCTTGCGCCTCGGGCCTCCATTATCTGGGCCCGGGACGAGGCGGGTGGAGAGCAGAATCCCATGGTTGGGCTCGGGTGCAGATGGCGCCCGGCTGCGCTCCCCGGCTCCCACAGGCCTTTCGTCTCAAGCTTTTTGCCTGTTACTCACAACTGGTGCCCCAGGAGTCTCTGCCGCCTGGCAGGACTTGAACAGGGCTGTTCCCCCATCCCTCGGGCCCTGCCCCGTCCTGCCAACTTTGTCACCCCACTCGGGAGGAGAAGGAGGGGTGACAAGAAGGCTTCAGAGGACCGCTAACCCCTCCACAGCCTTGGCACCCCTCGACTGCCTCTTCCCCCAGTGAACAGACACGATCAGACACGCAGAACCTACCCCAGAGACCCTGCCCGTGGACTCTGCGGCCCGGCACAGCCTAGAGTGTGCGGGGCGCACTAGATGTTTAAGGGGCAAACCAAAGGCTGCCAGAGAGAGGCAGGCCCAGAGCGCAGCCTGCACAGACGCCAGCCCGTTGGCTGCACGCGCTGTCCTGTAGCAACACCTGCCCCTCCAGCCAGCAGACACTGGCATCGCGCCTGCGGTGGGCTGGACCTTAGAGGCCAGTACCGACTCCAACTGAGGCCCATCCTCAGGGACGCTCGTCTGACAGGAAGACAAGGTGAACTTGGTCATGACCAAAGAAAGGCCGGGATGGAGGAGGGGAGAGGAAGGCAAAGACACACGCAGGTGGCCTAGGGGTTAAGTCTCAGCGCTATCACCACTGCAGCCTGAGTTCGATTCCCAGCCAGGGAGCTACCCACATGGTGCAGCAGACCTCCCCTGTCTCCCCGCTGCTCCCCTCAGCAGTGTGCTTCAGTCAGTCTGCCTGTTCTGCTCCCCACTCTCTCCACCTATTGCTTTCTGCTGCTGCTTACCAAAAAAACAGAAAGCAGTTTATAGGTTCCCTACGCCGACTGATCCTTCTATTCTCTCTCACCCATTTCCAGTCCCGCTCACAGCACCCCAGCCACCTCTGTGCATGACCACATTGTTCTCGGCTCAGCAGCACTAGACTCAGCTAATCACCCCACCCGTCCAGAAACTTCACTGGCTCCCCTCGCCCCTCTCCTCAGCCTCTGTCCAAGCTTCCTTTCAACCTCCCTTCTGAGCCCTGCTGAGCGCAGGCCTTGGCGCTTCTCTCCCCTATCCTCAGTCCCGCCATCCGGTCTCCTGACCTTGGCCATGGTCTGTGCGTGGAGGATAAACATGCTTCTCCAGCCCAGATTCCTCCCTGCCCTCCCCGCTGGCACATCCTTTCTGACACCTCCACTCAGATATTTAATCGGCACAACAACATGTCCAACAATCGAATCCTGACTTCCCTATCCCACCCGCACCTCCGCCTCCCCTCCTCACGCCTCAGGAAGTGGCAGCTTCATCCTTTCCAACTGCTGCCAGAGCCCTTGGGCTCATCACTGACGTCCCTTCTACATCCCAGACCATCTAACCAGACTGGCCGTGGCATCAGAATCTGTCCAAACCACCACCTCTCCTCCCACCTCCAGTGCCCGCCCCCCGTCTGCATGACACGTGGCTCCCCCTTCATCTCCCCATCCGTGTCCCCGACGCCCTCTTCTCAGCAGGGCAGTTACGATGGTCCATGAAAATAGGGCGCCTACCCAGCTCAGCTCACTCAGAATAAAAGCCAGAGTCCTCGGTGTCGTCCAGGTCCAAAAGAATCTGCTTCCCTTACCCTCAGGCCTCCCCTCCAGCCACACCGGCTTCCCTGCTGCCCCACACCGGGCCCTCACCTAGCTGCCCTTGGCCTGCCTCCCTCTGCGGGGTCGAGACACCCCTCTTCAGAGCCAGCCCCTCCACCTGATCCCGCCGCTCACCATAATCTCACCTGCTCGCTGCTTTGCTCTTTCGCTCACTAGGAAGCCCCACTGGAGCGGGGACTTTGTTTCGCTCACTGTCATGTCCCAAGCACCTAGGGCAGTGCCTGGCAGGGGACAGATTCTTAGCCTGTAGGAGGGACGGACAGATGGACGGATGGATGAGCAGAGAGCCTTGAAATCGCCTCTTGAGCCAAACAAAGATGAGAAGCAGGCCTTTGAGCCCACATGGAATGGTGGTAAGAGGCAAAGCCAAGACATGCCCTCGGGAGTGGCTAGGGGTGTCTCGTGACACCCCGAGGAAACGCCCATCCTGATCTGGCTGGAGCTGAGGGGCTTCCACGCCAGCCCCCAGGGATTCCACCTGACCTTTTTTTTAAAAATCTTACTCCTTTCTTCCCCGAGTCAGGCCTCTGGGCGAGGACAACAGGGGCGATGGATTTCCCATCAAAGGCCACCGGACACATGTTAAAGAGATCAGGGCCCTCAGGGTCCCACTTTCTCAAGGTAGTGAGGCCTCCCCGCCAGTCTGGCTCCTCTGGGGCCAGGGGTGGGGGTGTGCTCTGGCCCTGGACTCCTCTCCTCATATGTCAAATGCCAAACAGCAGGAGGCCAGCCTGAGCCAGGCTGGCCAAGTGGGCCCCCATCTGGGCCGTGTGCAGCGCTGGGGGAAGGGAGAGTGCAGAAATCCCTGCCTGTGTCCGCGGTCAGGGCCACAGACAAGCTGTGACCATCTGTTGTCGTCTTGAGAGGCCAGTCCAGGGGCCCAGCACCCTTGAGGATAAGCCTTCCTTTCTCCCAGCTTTCTAGTGTTTGCAAAGAACTTTCACAGCGACCATTCGGTGTTACCCTCACCACTTCCCTGTCAGGCCTTATTCTCCCATTTTATAGAAGAAGAAGAAAGGCTGGTGTGATTCTCTCAAGGTTATGACTAGTAAGAGGGGAAGCTGGGACTCTCAGTCCATTCCGCCAGCTCTTCCCTGCCCAGGCCTGGGCCACGTGCCTGGGTGCCATGCACAGGGTCCTCACAGGGCTATGCTTTCGGGCACAGCTCCAGTCCAATGGTGCCTCCTCCCCCTCCGCTTCCAGGAAGCCTTCTGGGACTGACACATCCAAGGAAGTGCCGAGGATACCCCAACGTCTGGAGCTCGTGCAGCCACTCCTGTCCTGCTCTGGGCTATTGGCCTGCCTCTGGGTGTTTGTTCCCCTGATGACCCAGAACCTCCTAGGGCTAGTACAGCCACCCACCAGAGCAGATGACTCCCCATCGGGGCCGTCCGACGGGCTGTGGAGGGAGCACTGTATGCTGTGGAGAGCTCTGCTCCAGGTCCCGAGGCCAGGAGGGTCAGAACTGGGATTTGCACCCAACAACTTGGCCTTGACTCTGAATACAGCCTCCAGTCCTGTGGCACCCACTAGCCACAGGTGGCTGGTTAAATTTAAATCATTAAAAGTGATTCCTTAGAAATTTAAATTACTATTATTCATTTTAAAATAAAGGTTTATTATTAAATTAAAATGTCAAGTCCTCAAAGGCACAGGCCACATTTCCAAGTGCCCAGCAGGCAAGCATGGGAGCGGCTGCGGGTTGGACAGCGCTGGGCCGGCCCAGCCAGGCCGCATCCTGGAGCCTCGCGCCGCACTGCAAGACTTTGCGGCCTTCTCTGAGCTTGAACGGAGCCTCCCTTCTTAGGTCTCCAGGTGGACTTCCTTAGACTCGGTCTCCCCTCCTCAGGATTCCCAGGCAGGACCCCAGCTGCCCCGGGAGCCCAAAGGGAGGCCAGGCGGGCGGGCTAGCTGGACCGGCCTCCCACCAGCCCCGCCCGTCCAGCCCGCCTGCCCGCCTGCCGCCAGGAGCTGAAGGGGAAGGAGGGGGCGCCGAAGGGGAGAGGATGGCAGGACAGGGCAGTTTGTCATCTGGCCCTGGGGGCTGTGTGTCCTTCCCTCCCCCCTCAGCTGTGCCACTCTCCTCCCCCTCTGGCCTGCCATCCTCATCCTCACCCAACCCCAGGACAGATGGGGGCCGGCGGGGAGGGCGAAACGTGACCACAGTGGAAGCAATCTCAAGTGGTCACAGAGTCTGGGGGGCCCAGCTGTGTCCCCTGAGGCTTCCTGTCCCTCATGTCTAGCCTCGCGTGGCCAGGCCGGGGCCAACGTGCAGCTTCGGGAGGGGAGCGGGTGATTTAGGAGTCTTGGGGTAGGCTTAGGAATCTGCTAGGTGCCGGATTGTTCCAGGAGACACAACCTCTGTCAAAAATGCAGTCACTCATGTGGCCACTCATCCGTCCCTCCATTCAGCACCCGGTGAGCAAGTTCCCACGGTGTGGTGAGGAGTGAGAGGCTCTGAAGACGCGCAGGTGGGCTCCCTGAGCAGCCTGACCAGGTAGGGGCGCAGCTTGTCCTGGGCGTGATCCTGGTTCCAGGCTAGGTAGAGAGCCTTTGTTTCTGCCCAGTGGCCTGAGCAGGATGGACACCCCCAACCCCTCCCCTCAAACAGAGGCACGCACTCCCAGCTGCTGCCAAGAACCCCCCCCTCCAAGGTCTCTCCGGCCAATCACAGTGCAGAAGGGGAAGTCCCACTGCCCAGCGGGCCCCCAGGGAGTGTATTAGCACATTTGAACTGCTCAACCCGCAATGACAAAGCCTGGGGCCTTGGGAGGAGACGCAGCAGGAGGGGTGAGGGCCTGTGCGAGTGTCCCCCCCACACACACACTCCTAGGGGAAAGCTCCAGTGTCCCCCCCCCACACACCCCTAGGGGAAAGCTTGAGACTAGATTAGGCATTCTGGGGCACAGAGGAATTTGGGGGCCCCAGCTCCAGCAGTGACTAAGCGAGCCATAAAATCCCAATTTACACACTCACTGATCAAACGGCCCCTTACTCCCCCAGGGAGTTGGGGGTGGCTCCTGGGCTTCCCCTGCTCTGGCAGAAGGTCCCCGGGAGTCAGGAGCTGGACTCTGGCCAGGCTCCCAACACTGCATCTGCAGACTCATCCCAACTGCAGCCCCCATGAGGTACAGCCATCCCCTGGGCTTGGGGACCTGCCTGGAACCCCTGCCCTTGGCTGCCTTTTGGGGGGTGCCTGCCCCAGTGGTCATCTTTGTTTGCCCTAATGAATGGCAGCTTTTCTCTCCTGTGCTGGGGTTGTCAGGCCGCCTTCAGCCTCGTCAGCACTGCTAATCACTTTCCCAGCTCTGAAGCCCTGTTTCCTCGCCACCCCTTCTCTCCAGCAGCCCCTGCAGGTTTTCTTGGACCCTCCGGGTGTTATAGCTGCCCTGAGCCCTGCCCCTCCCCCCCCCACTAGGCCATATCCAAGAATATGGACTGCAGTGTCCTCTCCCCCTTCTCCCTGGAGACACCAGGAAGGGGGAACTGCCCTAATATTTATTTATTTTTTTAAAAAGATTTATTTATTTATTTAGGCATATAAGAACTGGGGTTCAGGCCAGAATTGTGGGGGGTGAGAGGACTCACCAGAGACAGACTAGGGAGCAGAACAGGCAGATCGACTGAAATCCACTGCTGAGGGGAGCAGCGGGAGAGACAGGAGAGGTCTGCTGCACCATGTGGGTAGCTCCCTGGCCGGGGATCGAACTCGTGCTGCAGAGGCTGCAGAAAGCTTCATAGGTTGCAATTTAACCCCTTGCACCACCAGGGAGGCCCTGCCCTAATATTTATTGCCCTTGCTCCTTCCCACACAGAAAATACAATTTATCTTTACCTGCCTAGATTTTGTTTGCTTCACTTAGGCTCCTTGAAATTTCAGCAACAGAAAACCCTTCCGGTTAACAAGCAGGGTTCTCTTTCGAACCAGCAGTACCTCTGGGAGTTCCAGGCTCCCAGCCACCAGCTTCTCAGTGAAGGGTGTCCAGACTGATCTGTTGCTCCCTGCTGCCTCCGGCTGTGCTGCAGGGAGGAAAGGCAAGTGCAAGGGGTCCTGCAGGCCAGAGAGTTGCTCTAAAGGCAGCACAGCACGCCCCTCCCAGCAACCTCTTCTCACTTCTTGTGCGACCTGGACCAGGCTAGGGACAGACTTCAGTTCCAAGTCCCCAAGAAATGACAGAAAGGGATGGGAGGGTTACCCTGTCTGCTTTCCAGAAGGTCCAGAGGCCAGGCTGTTATCTTCCAGAAGCCACTGCGCACTGGGCTGAGGCTTGGTCTCCGTGATCATAAGTCCCCACGGCTGGCTGTTTGGCGGGGACTGCAGCCTGTTCCACTGCAAGACACGCCCCTCCCTTCTCCCCTTCCTAGCCTTCCCTGGCTGCTCCTGGGACTCCATTAGGGACTTGACATCAGGCTGACTGGGATTAGGGGTCTCTGAGCCCACCCTAGCAAGCCCAGGGGTCCATCTGGAAATCATGGCCCCACCTCACTCCCATGACTCCGTCCTAGCCTGACCCCTGGCCCCTCTGGCCTGTCCTGGGCCAGCTCTCACCAGCTCCTCCTCTGCCAATAGAGGGAGGAGCCCAGGGCCCGGCTGTGCCGCCCCCCACCCCCACCCCGCGTGCACACGCACAACTCTGTCACTTAGGAACTGGTCGCATGACCCTTCAGGTTCCCTTGAGATCCCACCACACCAGATCCACTTCATCCTGAGCCACATTTTTCATCCTCCTTGGGAATCTTAGAGGGGGGTTAGGAGTCTGGGTGAGAATCCTTAGGACCCCCTGGATGCCCACCAAGACCTCAGACTCAACACACCAGGGAGAACAAGTCTGCCTTCTCTCTGCAGAGTCCCTTCTCCCAGGCTGGCGACCCTGGAGGCCCTGATACCTCTTATAGCCTCCACCCATCCTGCTGGCCTGAGCCCCCGAGGCGCTCTCTCCCACAGCCACAGCTCTCACGTCTCCCACCACTGCTGCCCACATCTGACCTCACTGCCCAGCCCCCCAGATCCGCACGGCGGCAGGGCTGGGCCTTCTGTCCGACACACAGACTCAGCCCCACGGACCACTGAGTGGACGCAATCCTGAGCCTGGCACAGAGGTGGATCGCTTGTCCTTCCTTCCAGCCTCAGACCCTCAGCCATTCTGGCCCCTCCAGCCATATCAGCGGCCGGGGTGACCCCAAGTTATTACATCACTTGGCCTTAATGTCGCTGACTGCCTCCCACAAGAGGGCTCAGTTGACGTCACCTGTGAGACTGAGCTCCCCACTCCCTTCCCTGCCCCTGGGCCTTTGCACAGCTTTCTCTAGCCCAGCAGCCCCTTGCTATTCCTTTCCCCACCAAATCCCCTCCCTCAGAAAACCTGATTCAACGATGGTGGGTGGTCGGAAGAGCAGGGTCTTCAGAGCACTTTTCTACTGTAGTAATAGTAGTTCTAGGTCATTCCTCTTTTTAAAGATTATTTTCTTTGTCACTGAAGCACAGAGATTTGCAGTCGAGCCCTATGCTTTGCCCCAGCAAGTGTCAACATCTCTGAGGGGCCCAGCTTCTCTCTACAGTGTGGAGGCAGGAAGAGGGCCTCGGTGAGCAGGTACGCCCGGTGGGGGGCAGGAGGGAGGCCATGGCTACTGCTCAGCTTGGGGACCAGGCTTCCCAGGCTGGGCACCCCCTTCCCAGCGCGTGTCTCCTTGAGGGGCTGGGGCTGCTTGTCCCTCAGGACTAGGCCCTGCCTGGGTGTGGGGTGGAGGGTAGGGCTCTTCGTCCGTTTCCAGTCATCAGCCCCTTTTGCAACCTGGTAAGACAGTGTCCTGTTCTCAAAAAGTCCTTTTCTGTGCATAGGATTAAAATGCATGGGTCCATGTTATTTATCAGTGATGCCCCTGTACAGCTGAGGGGCATAAAATATGAAAAGCACATGGGGCTACAGGGGAATCCATGACCCTGGAATACAGTTCGAGCCTGAACTCCTCAGGGGCACGGAGCACAGGTCTTAGTCCCCCACCCCCCCACAATAGGATTAGGACCCAAGGTTGACTTGAGTCAGTTTGGGTGGCCTGTCACCTCCAAAAAGCCTGAACTTTAAAGCCTGAGTGATCCCGTGTTCCCGACCCCAGGTCTGTCCCCTCCCTGGGAGCAGGGGTGGGCATGAGGCTCCCTCAGGACCCAGCCTGAGCAGAGGCATGAAGCAGGTCCAAACAGCCCACCTGGGCGTCCCCAGGGCTGTCCCTGCCCCCTTGACACCCTCCCCAGCCCCAGGGGTGCTGAGGTGAGTAACTCAAGCTATGCGGCCTGGCCGGTCTACCTCGGTGTGAGTGGGCAGGGCTGTCCTCAAGGGGGTGCCCCCTCTACCCCTGCAGGACCACAGAAACAGAGAGAAAGAGAAACTGGGGTAGGGTGCCATTCCTATCTGTCAGTCCCACCGGAAGTAATTCCTTCTGTCTGTCTGTCTGCTGGGCATGGGGTTCCGACAGGCGCGTGCAGCTCTTCTCGAAATGACTTGGCTCATTGAAGCCTTACAGTGACCCTAGAAAGCAGGTGGAAGGGGTCTCCCGGAGGAGAAAGGAGGCACGGTGAACTCGCCTAAGCCCCCAGCGGGGGAGCAAGCGCCGCCACCCGGGAGCAGTCTGCCTTCTGGTGCTTTCCAGCCTGGGCTGAGCAGCTGAAGTTGCCATGCAGCAGCCAAGGAAGCCAAGGTATCCGTCTATCCCG